GAAACAGCAAGTCTCTATAATAGGCGCGAAATTACAAATAAGACGACCACTGCGTAACATTTTAAAAGGGAAAAATACATTTATTTTACAATAAAAAATAAAAAAATGTACAGATACAAGGCTACACAAAAATTTGATTTTTCTGCGCCTGTTACGGAAGGATAACAGATTTCTGAGATTGCAAATAGGGGATAACCATCAGATATAAGGGAAAAAGTGTAACAATTTTTAGAAAAAGACACAGATTCAAAGACGAAAAACAATTGCACTCTTTAAAAATGAAGAAAAAAGGTGAAAACAAAAAAAAAGGTGAAGCAAAAAAAAAAGAAAAGAAAATACAAAACACTGCCACCTGAGTTCGAAACTGAATATTCAATAGTAGAACGTCTCAACATGAAGGATTTTTCATGTTTCACAGCTCTAGTGCATTTTGAAGTATTTTGCTGGAAAGTTAATGATATAATGGAATACGCGTACACCTGTGTTCCCCCTCACTGGAATATGATTGGCTGTTGTCCGTCATAAATACCGACGGACGTGTAGGAGAGTCAAGAGCCTTAGTCTGAGAGCTAAGTCTATAACGACGCCCATTGGACTATGCCATTGATCTACACTTCTTACCTGCGACTACGACGCGTACCAGTCGATTACTGCTACCATATTCTACTTGGTTATAGTAGCCAAAACCACTTAGCTACTTCGTTCAAATATATCCCTTTCCGGGGCATACCAGTTAACTTAAAAGTTCTTTCAAGGAGTTGTGGTTTTGACTAATAAAAAAAAAGTTTTGACATTGAAATTTCATGAAATTGACTAAGTGTTGGGTAAGAGTGAGACCCACCCCCATAGAGGAGAACATGACTAAAGACTGCGTGTACGCTATCCCGTGCAGCTGCGGAAAGGAATATAAAGGAGAGACAGGCCGCCCCCTCAAGGTAAGGCTTCAAGAACACCAGAAAGCTGTAACGCGAGGGGAAGTAGAAAAATCAGGGTGGCTGACCACATAACGAGAGAGAAGGGAGATCACCGCCCCCTGTGGGATCATGTTGAGATCATAGACAGGGAACACCATTAGAAAATTCGTAAACTTAAGGAATCAGCATATATGCTAGGCCACAAAAATCTCCTAAGCCGACCAAGCATAGAAATAAATACAATATGGGAACCAGTAATAAGGAGTGCCAGAGAAAAGCAATGATAACAGAGTTGCAATATGAGCTCTGGTAAAAACATGCAATGATAACAGCAAAACTGCAATATGAGTACTGGTAAAAAAAATGGTTGCTGAAAACATTAGGTTTATAATACACAGAAATTCATACCCAGATGTCCTCAAGGACAAATGGATAAAGGCGTTGGTTAGATCCAGTGACAGGACCCAAAGAGTGTGAGTTCAATACCCGGTTAAGGCAGTGAAGAACTTTCAGAGGGAAATTAACAGGAGATAACTGATAACTGACATCTATTAGTCATGGCACGTGGAACTAGAACAGTCTACTCCAGTGAGCGAAATAAAGGGTTCAGTTCGACATTCCAACCACCTGAAGAAGGCCGGAGCGTACAATGGCCGAAACGTTGTAATAAATATGGCGACAAAGATGAGGACAATAGTCCGACTAATGTAAATACTGTACATAATACCTCATCTCAGCGATATAGACTTTTTTTTTTTTTTTTTTGTGGAGGGGTTTCAGCAAAAAAGTGGTTGTATCTATATTAATAAATATACATATTATGCCTCCCCAATAGCACGACTCAGAGTTTCATGCACAACGCAATCTTCATATACTGAGTATAGACTGACCGTTACGCAATTTAAATGTTAAAAATGTGTGGTCATCACAATGTTGGAGCAGTTATGTATTATACTGGGATTACATTTTTTTAATTAAAAAAAAAACATGTTTGGCATTTAATATATATATATAAAGAAAAATACAGAAAAAAACAAAATTCTGAATATGCATTATTAATGTTAAAATAAAGTCGACGTCGGACGTTTCGGTCTATTTAAGACCATCTTCATGGACATTTTCATTTAAACATAATTAACATTATAACTTATAACAATTTAACACAAAAGACGATGGACATAAGAGCTAACTAACATAAGAGCTAACTAACATTTAACATTAATAATGCATATTCAGAATTTTGTTTTTTCTGTATTTTTCTTTAATACTGTCGGATTTATATCCATATATTTGCTTATATATATATATATATATATATATATATATATATATATATATAAATAAAAAACAAACACTAATATTCCATGGTCATAATTTATTCATTGGAATCAATTCATCAGACCTACAAATTCAAAAAGAAAACAGAAAAAAAAAACAACCCCGGGAATAAAAAATGGAATTTAGAGAGAGTGTAAGTATGAGAGTGTGGGACGAATGTTAGAGCTAAAGAGAGGGGTAACAGACGAGAGAAGGTGGGGGATTAAATTTTAACAGAGAGAAGTTTTAAACAGGTGAGTCAAAGACAGTTTAAGTGAGAGAAATATGAATGTTGTCGGATGTCTAATACATTAAAGATGTAACTGGAAAGGATACATTTTATGGTGACATACACACACAATAGACGATCTAATCTTAAAGATCAGAAGAAGAGGGAGGAGAGGAAAAGAAAAGAAAAAAAAAAAAGGGGGAGATGGGGCAGAAACTAAAACTGAAGGCAGTTATAAAAAGAAGCCGCTGTGTAATTAAGAAAATTTGACAAAAACTATACATACATATACCCATGTACATATATACATATATATATATATATATATATATATATATATATATATATATGTATATATATATATATATATATATATATATATATATATATATATATATATACACTCTTTTTGCATATGTATGTATATTTACCAATAATATATATATATATATATATATATATATATATATATATATATATATATGCACATTTCATTGAATACAACAGACAAGGTGCTTTTATTTAGTTTTTATATAATTTCTCATGCAATCTATTATTTTTTTTCTTTTCGGATGATAAATTATATAAAAATTGTCCAAATGCTCTTTTTATATGAAGGCTTTCGTCTATACATTTAGCCATTTTCAAGGATTGAATATTTTAACTGTTAAATAAGAAATAGTTTGTTGTATGTATGTTTTATAAAATGTTTTCATTTTTCAAAACACGGTCAAGATATTATGTCCATATTCAAAGTTAATATTATTAAGTGTTGTTTTTTTTTTTGCTTTTATTAATAAGGCTTCCATTATTTTTAGCCTTTTTTATGTAGATGATGCTATTATATTAGTGTTGTCAACAAGTATGTTACGAATAGTGTCCGGTAGGTCCATGAATATTTAAATGAGATCTAATTGAGCTATGGTCAGAAAGGTGTAGAGTGAGTCTGCGCGTCAAACATGTTGTAGTGTGGCCTATATAATTATATATATATGCATGTGTGTGCGTATGTGTAAAAATATTTTAGAATTGTGGATATTAATTTTATGTTTTTTATATATATTTTTATATTTTAAGCATAAAGGGAGGTTACTTGTTCTTTTTAGGAAACGTAAATTACATTAAAAATTAATTGAGATCAACGTATTTAAACAGATATTTATTTCTATGCCTACATGTAACCATCAATTCATTTCTCTTGTTTAATAAGCTAAGGTTGTTTAAGTGCTTTACGATAACTAATCTTTCAACAAGACATAAATTACAAGTATTTCCTTTCCTAATAATATTTTCCTTTATAATATCCTAGGTGATACAAGGGGCATTACAACCATTGTTTAATTGCCAGAAATATTTTGTAAGAGCAGTGCAGTTTATATATTTTGTATTGCCTGAAATCATTCGATGATTGTGAAAACGAAATTTCCAGGTATTTTCACTAGAAAGAAACCATAATTTAACATCATTACTGGGATGAATGGCGGGTCCTAGCTGTGAAGGTCAGACATGTTGGAACCCGGAGATGCAATTCCGAGTACCAGAGAACATAAGAAAATAAAAACATTATTAAGGATGGAAATTAATAAAATAAGGGGAATCAAACACACAGTATACAACGATTGACATTGCATTTAAATTTTTGAAGATCAAAATAGGAACTCAAAAAAAACGGATGAATGTTCCACAAACAAGAAATGGGAAAGAAGAAATGGTTACCAAAGAACTGACAGTTACATCTCACCATTTAAACTGCAAAATGCTGAGACCTCTCCGTCAATGTCATATTGCGCTTAAATTCATAACGTCTAAGTACCAAAAGCCAGTGGCGTGCAGAGGTCTGGTGGCACCCGGGCTGGGGATTGTGTCTGACGTCCATTATCACCACCCCAAACAAAATCGCAATATATACATATATATATATATATTTTTTTTTTTAAACAGATCTATTGTTCACAAAGGTTTATCACAATCCGTTAGAGGGAAAGTTTAAATAATGATACTTTAACACATAGGGTGGAGTAATGGATAATGGAATCGGAGAGCCGAGTTCGAATTCCAGTCGAATCCATTACATTCACTTGCATAATAATACCCTTAGGAAATGTATGAATCCTTTCTCTCACCCCCCCCCCAGCTATGGGTAAATAGCAGAACAGACCCGGTTCTATAGCCTTGGATGCCAACTGGTCTTCCGCAGAAAGAAATGGCAACCTACTGCGGGAAAAAAATCTGCCTCGTCAGTCATGTATCGAAAGATACATGATCGCTTAAGCGTGTATCACGCATGGCACATAACTGACTGAACACATACAAATTGAACAAATTTTAGCTACTTATTTCAAAGCTGAGTGGCAAAAGAAAGTTTATGAAGTCCCTTTTTTGGAAAAATAATAACAAGCAATGTGATACTATATTATTCAAATACATATTCATAAGGTGTTTATTAAGAAGATCGTCATGTGGTGAATTGTGTGTGTGTGTGTGTGTGTGTGTGTGTGTGTGTGTGTGTGTGTGTGAATGGTGGGTCCTGGCCGTGAAGGTCAGGTTAGATCTGGTGGAATCAGGAAATGCAATTCGTCCGAACATTTGTCATGGAAGTATCGAGTAGAACAGTGAGAAACTCGCCAAATCCCATGAGAGAGAGAGAGAGAATGAGAGAGAGAGAGAGAGAGAGAATGAGAGAGAGAGAGAGAGAATGAGAGAGAGAAAGAGAGAGAGAGAGAGAGAGAGAGAGAGAGAATGAGAGAGAGAGAATGAGAATGAGAGAGAGAGAGAGAAAGAGAGAGAGAGAGAGAATGAGAGAGAGAGAGAGAGAGAATGAGAGAGAGAGAGAGAATGACAACAGTGCTTTTAGGCTGGATCTGTCTCTGATAAAGGTAGACGATAGCATAGGGAGTCACGTATTTACTTGAGTGGTACAGGGAGACGATCATTTTACCTACATCTATAGCGATAGGTCGTATATAAAATCCCCACTTGAGGTTCAATGTCTCGCCTTGTTTATCGGTGACGTTTGCGTCGAGAGGGTGGATAAAATTAAGGGCAAAGACATTAAAAAAGGTCACTCCTGGACAAGCACTACCACCTCGCAGAAGACAAAAAAATATACAAAAGAAGTTGTTTATGACTTTCTGCCGTTGCTCTGTTGAGCGTGTACTAGCGTATGGCGTCACTGTTTGGTACACACGCAAGAGAAGCCTCCAGAAGGTTGTTGCTCAGAAAAAAATCATTTGCTTGCTGCCCCCAATGTAGGAGATTTCTAATACTTGCTGTCGTAGCAGAGCAGAAAATATAATGAAGAAACGGCACCCATCCCGGGTATGATTTGTTTGTTTGTTTAATTCTGTTTGTTCTAAGACTAAGCACTTTTGGAACAACCTTTTATCCTTGGGCCCTGCATAATATGAACGCTGCGGCACAATGAGAGTTTTCAGCGTATTTTTAACGTTATCTTTATTCGATTGAGTGGGTGTGTATGTGAACCTGTGAACGGTGATAGAATGAATGAATAAATAATTATTTGAAAGAAGTCCGTGGATTTACTTTCATAGTGTACCTGATGTCTAAGTCAGACAAAGTCCGCAAAGAAAGAGACACGAATTCAAATCTTGCCAAAATTCTATTCATTATTGACCCATAATTCTTCTTGAATAGTCATAGAATGTGAAAACGGCTCATGCATTGCGATAAAATGCAATAGAAATAAGATAAATATTTGTAAATTTATGAATTGAAACAATTTCTGTTTATCATTCAAGGGGAGTAACTCTAAAGATTAGTTATATTGAATTATTTCCCTTACATCGTAAGTATTACTTCACTGTTTGTATTATAGGTTTATTTTGTGTGTTCTATTTATTTTAATAATTTCACCCCAAACGAAGCAATAAAACCACTTGACATGAAGGGTTACTGAGTACGAGAGAACATAAGAAAATAAAAACATTATTAATGAGGGAAATTAATAAAATAAGAGGAATCAAACACACAGTATACAACGATTGACATTGCATTTAAATTTTTGAAGATCAAAATAAGAACTCAAAAAAAACGGATGAATGTTCCACAAACAAGAAATGGGAAAGAAGAAATGGTTACCAAAGAACTGACAGTTACATCTCACCATTTAAACTGCAAAATGCTGAGACCTTTCCGTCAATGTCATATTGCGCTTAAATTCATAACGTCTAAGTACCAAAAGCCAGTGGCGTGCAGAGGTCTGGTGGCACCCGGGCTGGGGATTGTGTCTGACGCCCACTATCACCACCCCAAACAAAATCGCAATATATACATATATATATATATATATATATATATATTTTAAACAGATCTATTGTTCACAAAGGTTTATCACAATCCGTTAGAGGGAAGGTTTAAATAATGATACTTTAACACATAGGGTGGTGTAATGGATAATGGAATCGGAGAGCCGAGTTCGAATTCCAGTCGGATCCATTACATTCACTTGCATGATAATATCAACCTTTAGGAAATGTATGAATGCTCTTCTTCTCACCCCCACCCCCAGCTATGAGTAAATAGCAGATCAGACCCGTTCTATAGCCTTGATGCCAACTGGTCTTCCGCAGAAAGAAATGGCAACCTACTTTTTTTTGAAAAAAATCTGCCTCGTCAGTCATGTATCGAAAGATACGTGATCGCTTAAGCGTGTATCACGCATGGCACATAACTGACTGAACACATACAAATTGAACAAATTTTAGCTACTTATTTCAAAGCTGAGTGGCAAAAGAAAGTTTATGAAGTTCCTTTTTTGGAAAAATAATGACAAGCAATGTGATTCTATATTATTCAAATATAAAAATTTGTAAGGCATTTGTTAAGATCGTCATGTGGTGAATGGTGTGTGTGTGTGTGTGTGTGTGTGTGTGTGTGTGTGTAACATTTCTGGAACGGGAGGTCATTTTTTCTCATGAATAGAGAACTTTGTAGGAATCCTTCTACTTGTTTTTTTGTTGAAAGTTAAAATTTGCAGTGTCGGGATTCGATACATTAACAAAATATCGTTACAGGGTCGCTCGTAATTTGGCCGCCTAGAATAATCAAACGCTTTTCATTGAAGGAATAAAATTCAGTAGAAATGACGACGTAGTTTCAACAAATAAACATTGATTTAATATAACGATAGAAATACAAAAAGTTGATAATAGATTGGAAAGTAATGTCTTTTGTTTGGGTTGATAAAGTTCTGAAATAAAATATAAACTGTCTTTGTGTACGTGTGTTGTTGTGATATGTGTGTTCGTATGAAAAAGTCAACATATGTGTGCGTGATTCATAGTAAAAACGGATACGAGAGATACGAATTGTTTCTTACTGTTGGCGGTGTTGTCGTGGTCTGGAGTTTGTCAACGCTGTCGTTTTTAACATGAGGTCATGAAGGTCATCAGCCAGAGGTGTGTGTAAGTTTTGTGACAGCCGCGTGTATATTGTTTTTGAAACAGATTTCGTATGTTTTTATACACTTTTTCCGAACAATATCGGCTCCAGAATTAAATTATTTATTTATTCCTAATTGGCCCTAAGAAGTCACGTGGTATGTCTTCTACTACGTCCGTACGATATTTGGTCGGTATCTACCTAAAAATGATGATGACTAATACAACAAACATTCTGATTTGTAATCTATGATTTTATTAGTGTGTTTTAAGATGTAAGTGTTTTCTTGAGTGTGATTGGTTTATAAATATTGTATTTGATATTTTAGTGGACACGACAACTTAACGTAAGCTATCTATTTATGAGGAAATATAGGGTTCCTATCAGTGATTTTCATTTGTTTTAAAGTAGTTTATTTGTTTTTAATAATAATTTTTGCGGGAAAAATGATTATAATCTTGGAGGCTGGCGCCTTAAATATTTTTAGAGGGAAAATCATAATACAATTACTAGGCAGTATTTCTTAAAAGAAGGATTCTGATTGGCTGAAAAAACAAATTTATCTCCTTTGAAAATTCTTAGCTTTCTGGAGTCTGTTTTGTAGAAGAATGAGGAAATATCTTTGTTAAGGGAAAACAATTGGAATGCGGAATACTGAATTTAATGCCTCCGTTCCAAAACTCCAGATAACACACGTTTATCAACAAAATCTTTCAAACACTTTTTTTTTTACTTCTTCACTTAGAAATCGTTTTTCAGTATTTATAAGCGACAAGTTTACTAGTCTATCCTGTGACATTGTTGAACGTAAATAATTTTTAATCATTTTAAATTTAGAAAACGATCTCTCACAAAAAGCAATGGAAACTGCTGTTGTTAGCAACAGTCTTTATGCCACGGATAATTCACCAAAACATTCTTTGCCATATTTAATAATACACTTTAATACATCAAGATCAGGGGGTACCTGTTTACCTCCAGCTCTAATTAGCAAAATTAAATCTATCATTTCATTGTATAAAAGAACAATACCAATATCATGTGACGGTTACACACCTGGCCCAGGGTCGGATCCTTTGGTTACGGCGCCAACGGTGACGTCGCTCCTCCTGGTCGCTCCTCCTGGGTCCAAGCGTGCCGCTCCAACCCCTTGGTCAGATGATCACCAGCCTCGCCTTTCCCGACTCGCTTCCAATACCTGGTCACTAAAACAACTGTACCGATCTCCGGTCTGTCTACCCACGCTGTGTTTAGATCTTAGACAGACGGGACCAGCAGGGATTGGGGCCGATACAAATTGAGTCCGACGGGGGTGGCAAAACACAAATAAAAGAGAAAATAAACTCACGAGACAAAAAAAGATTGCTGATGAAAAAAAAGGGTAACAACCCTTTATATCTTAATGTCCGCTACATAAAAACAAAATTGTTCTCATTTCCCGACCCGCTCTGTGGACTATGGCACCAAGCTTCTATCACACAACCTAAAGATTTCGAATTGCCTACTCTTTAGAATTGTGTATGTCGGAGTGTGGTTTGGTTCGACACTGGGGCTAATTTCTATCGATCATTCGCAGTTGATTCTTCTCTTCGACTTGAGTCGTATTTCTTCTTCTTCGTCGACTTAGGCTGGAAGTTCTCTTGTCTTCGACTTGGGCTGGAAGTTCTCTTGTCTTCGACTTGGGCTGGAAGTTCTCTTGCCGCAACTCAGCCGCAACTCTCTGTCGTCCGAGGTGATCTCTTCTCGCTGCCGTCCGGGGCTGAACTCTGCCGTAACTCTGCCACAACTCTCGGCGTCCTTCGAGCAATCTCCTTCTTCGTCTGCTTGGGCTGGAAGTTCTCTTGTCTTCGACTTGGGTGGAAGGATTTCTTGTCTGAGGATTCTCTTGCCCGCAAAGGGGCGAGTGAATCGGGCCCGATGCCCGCGTTCAGGCTCTTTCCCTGCCCGCGGTCCAGCTGCAACTCCACTCCAACTCCAACTGATTTCTGTCGACTGGGGTCCTGCTTTTATTGACGCCGCAACAAACTGGGGTGGGTCTGTCGGCGTCAGGGTTTTCTCGATAATTCCAATAGCCGCATTAATTCTGTTTCCCCATTATCGCTATTGTTTTCACCCCTACTTCCTCATAGTGCTTTTTTGGTGGGGAGGCGCATATCCATCTCTCTCGGTCTCTCGTATGTCAGGTGACCGCTTTCGACTAATGAGATTCTGATCGAGCATTTCTTTCTTTTCTTTTCCGCAGCCACGTGACCGTTTTCGGCTAATGGGATTCTGGTTGAGCATTTCTTTCTTTTCTTTTCTGCAGCCACGTGACCGTTTTCGGCTAATGAGATCCTGATTGGGCGTTTCCTACAATCAATCGGGGCGGGCTTATATCGTTCTTGTTCTAAAAAACAAAATCTAATTTTTCCTTTTTTTTCGCACGTACGAAAAATGACCATCTTGGCCTTCTCTCACCTGGACTTTGTCAAACAGCCCGCCGCTAATTAGACTTGACCTCAGAAAGGATCTTTTCCGCCTTCTTGGCGCCCTCTGTGAGCCAAAAGCAATTGTCCTCTTTTTACCTCTTTGTTTTTCCTGATAGTCAAAAAAATCTTAATTATCTACATTGAAAATGTCTCCACTTTATTATTGTGGGGTTCTAATTTTTAACAGGTCAGAGCCTGTATACCGTTCCACCGGTCACTCCCCTCAACCCAAAAAGACACTTTTTCTCTGATTAAGATTGTTTCATTGTTCCCAAAATTTCTCTTTATCCAAATTGATAAGGTGTCTTTCCATGCAAAAAAGGTTAGGTGCTTTGACCGATATCTGGCTTCCATCAAGCGGCCCGTTTTGATATCATGTCTTTTTTCCCTTTCTTTCTTCTTATTATTTCTAATTCTATTCTTCCAATTGTCTTTAAAAAAATTCGGTCAACATGCTAGCTAAGATATCTTTCTGACTCGTGTTTTTTGTTAATGACCGTTTTTTTTTTGTATTTTCTCGACCTCTCTTTCCCCTTCCTTCTTCTTCCTTAGGATCGTCCAAGTACAATCTTAGTGAATTATTTTCAACTCAATTATTTTCCGTTTTAAAAAATCAACAACCTGTTTAGTAAACCGAATAAGAAAAAAATTAAATCATATTTCTATGAATATTTCTAATAATGCAAGGTGCCACAATCATCTGGATACTAATTTTGAAAATCCAAACATTTATTAGGTTGGTGCAAAATAAATGACGTAATAATGCCGTTTTTTTATGTATTTTTAACGTCAAAAAACGACATTATTACGTCATTATTTTTGCACCAACCTAATATTTCAAAGGCGTGCTTTCTCATTTTCGTCGTCAGTATTTAATAAATTCAGGTTAAGAAGAAATTTAAATCTTTTTCTTAGTTCTGCCAAATCTTGGCCTCTCCCTTCAATCACAACGATTAAACGATTGACAACTTCATGCATTACTCTTTGCATCTCTTCCTTTGCTGTTAAAACAGCATCTCTAACTTCTTCTGACAATATTTTTCCTTCCAGCGCGATAATCAATTTGATTTCCATATTCTTCGCAATATTTTTCAGCTGAGTTCAAAGCATTGCTGAGTATTTCTCCCTTTTTTTTATTACCAGTTTGTTGATCAACCTTTGAAAGTCTATATCTGCTTGATTTAACCCAACCTTAGGATCTTGCATCCTTTTCTGAACTCTCTCCACAGAGAATAAAATTGGATGCCGGAAGTTAAGTAGGCGATAAATGAAATTTTTTGAAAAGAGTCCATAAGTATCCCAGAATCAAACTCTCTTTCTTGAATATACTCTCCAAGTTAAAAATGTTCAAGGCAGGCTATTATTTCGTTTAGATTTTGTTACGTGTCGTATCTTACACTTCATCTGGTTTCACACTGTTTTACCGTTCGAGATTCGTATTGCTTCTGCATTTCCCATCGTGATGAAGAAGCAGAAAAGAACGCGAAGAGTCTGTCGAAGACACCAAAAAATGTTGTAACACATGGATCTCCTGCACAGGAAAGAAGACAAGCTAAATTGAGATTACGATTTACTCTGTTTGCAAAAATTGCTCTTTGATATGCATCCAATATTTTCTTTTGGAAACCATTTCTAGCTCAAACCATCACAGTTGCGATATCATAGAACATCGACAATCTTCAATGGGTAAACCATATTCTTCTAAAAAGCCGAGAACTTTGATGGCAATACCACTGGCATCGTTTTTCTCAAGTTGAAAAAAGCCTAAGAATCTTTTCAAATTAATTTTGACTGATGGATATATACTGTAGTGTGAAAAAAAGTCGGTTTTCGTGGGCAATGTCAGAAGATGAACCCATTGTGTAATATTTCGCTTCTCTTATTTCATCAAATATTTTTGTACGGATGTTTTACCAAGGAGTTTACAATTTCCTTTTAAGTTCTGTTCGAGAGGCAAGTCACTTGTTTAGCATGATCTATGCGTTCGTCACTATGGTGTGCCAAAATTGAATCCTATTTTGCCAGAAGTTTAATAGCAGCAAAAAAAAAAAATTTCCAGAGTTCTGATCTGTATTATTCTGTGACAACTCTGCTATTGATTCTCCCCTGTGTCCTCTGAGGGCCAAATTCTGTTTTCCCAGAAAAGAAATAACATCAGTAACACAATCCAGAATGACTTTCCATTTCTTTCTTTCTGCAGACAGTTGCTGTTGAAATTTAGCAGCCTCTGTTGTATGAGTTTGAAAATGATGTCTCATAGCCAGGCACTTAATCAGGTAATTTCTATGCACACGACTGTTTCCATGATCTGGAATCCGTGCATTTAACTTCCTCCAATTTCTGAATCCATCCTCCTTTGCAAAACTAGACATTTAGGAATCTGATTCCGTTGTTGCAAGAGAAGCAAGGAAAACAGTAGTAGCACCCACAAAAGGGGGAGTACAATAACTAAGTTTTTGGTACAGCTTCGCCATTTGCAGACCGCTTGAAAAACCTCTGCTTTGACAAGGATCTCCATTGCTCATCTGCAACAAATGGACCATTAAGATACTGAAAATCTTCCAATCCTTGTTTTACCAATTTCTGGATTAGTACATCCCCAACTGGTTTCTTCAATCTCACCAAATTCTTTACTTTCCAATAGAAATAGTTGCCGTCAGTATCACTGATTATATTTTCACTTTCAATTTCTTTATCATCAAATCGTTTCTTCTCATCTTTATTCTCTCTCAAAACATGTTCATTTTTATTTTCACTCAGATCCTTCTCATCTTCCTTCTCACTCAGTTTCTGACAATCAGATTCTGGCAATCAGATTCTGGCAATCAGATTCTGGCAGTCAGATTCTGGCAATCAGATTCTGATAATCAGATTCTGACAATCAGATTCTGGCAATCAGATTCTGACAATCAGATTCTGGCAATCAGATTCTGACAATCAAATTCTGACAATCAGATTCTGACAATCAGATTCTGGCAATCAGATTCTGGCAAGCTATGCGACGGAAAAGTCAAGGTATTTGACCAGTAACGCCTCCCTCGGATTGAGAGAGGCGAGATCTGGCAAATCTGTCGACATCAGACTATCGGGTAGTCTGTCAAGGTCCGGCTTCGTTACGCCAGCCCAACTGATGCTGCCCTCTTCCGCCAGTTTTGATTCGTTGAGATCGTGTAGATCTTTGCCTATTCCGCCGTTGGAGGTGTTCGAAGATTGGTTGTGTTCAGTCTGGTCTCTCCTCTTCGAGCTTGCCGCCATAAATCGCCCTACAAGTTCTATTTAATAAACCTTATTTAATCGAAGAATTCTTGCGTTAATATACAATAAAAATATGAAATGTTAGAACGCTCATAAACATTCTTCAGGCTCACTGTGAAACAAAGATAAACTATGGAAGATGCTAAGTGAAGTAATGTAAATAAAAGAAAAGCGAGTAAATGTTGTTATTGTTGTTGATATTTTAAAATAAATATATATAAATAAATTTAACAGCACCAATAACAGAATTAATCATTTTCGTTTATTCCGTATTAAATTAAACTACTTAGCATCATTCATGTTTTGCCTTGACTTTCAAGGTTGCCTGGACAATAAGAGTTTTGTCAAATTTAAAAATTCTGAACCACAGAGTTTAATTGAACCGAAGGGAATCAACCAATGAAGCGTTTTGGTTAGTTATTGCTGACTCTTTCTCAACTCTTAGAAATTTTTCAGTGTTTTTTTGTTTTTTGTTTTTTTTTCTCAGCAGCCTTTTTGAGTAAAGGTACAGATTCATGTGGATTTTATTACATGAAAAAAAAAACCCCCAAAAAACAAAACGGAATTGATTTAAATAGAGTATATCAACCAGACGAAAACACTGAAAGTGCACATACAGCTTACACAAGCTCAAAGCATTGCACAGTGGGTGTTTTTGTCCATTTTGGTGTAACCCCTGAAAAAGAATTCTTAATAAACTGTTGAAACTTGACTAATGCATGGAATAATAATGCAACAAAAAATGTATATAGAACTAAATGTACTTAAACAAGAAAGTGTACACAATATTTACATATAGTCTTTTGTATATTCTTGGTAAGACCGTTCCTGGAGAATGTGTTGACTGAGTCGCAGTCGGGCAGAGTCTCTGGTTGAATCTCTTGATTCCTCCCCCTGTCTTCCCGGTACCAACCATATTTATATGGTCGGTACTCCACTATGCAAATTAGGTGGATCCTACCACAACATAAACTTAGGATGAATTTTTACCTAATTGAATCAGGTCAGATTCAGATGTTGCAGTCTCTCTCGATAACTCCAGGATAGAGAAAAATAACGCGTAACCTACCTAGCGTGCTTGAAGAAACGGATTTGGGGACGAGTTTAGGCGAGATAACAAAAAGATAACATTTATTAAGAGCTACGAAAGCCAGGACATTGTGGAGAGCCATGATCGCCAACGTTCTGGAGAGACACAACACATAGAAGAAGAAGAAGAAGAAGAACTATAGCAATTTAAATGGAAAGTTTTTTCTTTTTTTCAGTAGACTCCTTGTGGAGGACCAAAATCTTACCAAATATAGCGGCTGTGGTTTCAGAAGCGAGCACTTTGTTATGGGGCCCGTGTGCTAACTAGACGCCTACCATAAATATCTTTACGGTGTTAAAGGGGTTCCAACAGATCTATTTACCGATAGCTGGTCATGAAGTAGTTTCAGGCTTTTCATGAAGGTAATAATATTCTTTGTAATGTAGGTGTCTCCAAACTGATATCTATTTTCTTCTTAGATTCATACTGTATTCATAAATCATAACCAATGTTTTGTTCATTTACCTAGTTAATGATTCTTGCTTACATTGTGTAAATGTACAGTTGACTGAGTGCACAAGAGCTGCACAGCCATTTAAAAACGTTCGGATATTTGCCTAACAGAACGATGTGGAAATTGGCATTAGTAGCAGCAGAGATATTTTGCCAATGACTTCGATACAATTTCCGCATCTGAGAAAATGTTTGCATTTTTTTTTTACTGTTTATTTGACGTTGAAATGAAATTTGTTTAATGATATACGTGTTTTGTCATGTGCTTTCCGTTTGAAACCATAAATATTTTTCATTAAAGCTTGAGACGATGAAAGAAGGAAACTAATAAATGCCAGAGTGGATTATCAAGCGATAAGCAAGAGTTTTATCACTTGTTATATTACAGACATTTGTCTGTGCACGTAGGCGCGCGCATGCGTGTGTGCCCGACAAATGTTTAATCATAGTGGCCATCGAATTTGAAGAATTTGAGACTTGCTTTCTGCACGCCAAATAAGGTTCTATCGTATTACCCTATCACATGGAACATTACTATGATAGAAGGAAAGAGCGAAAGAGAGAGAGAGAGAGAGAAAGATAGATAGAGAGAGAGAGAAGGGGAGTGTATGGCGTTATAAACACTATAGATTTAGCGAAGTGTATTTTTCGAAACTAAGCAAAGTATTAAGAAACGGGAAAATTTTGTTAAAAGCAAAGAAAGGTGCAGGAAACGCTAGACAATCTCCTCACGGATGAAGAAGAGACTTGAACCAACAGAAATGTGTCTCTACAGAAGGATGCTGAGAATACCGTAGACCGAACATGTGAGCAACGACGAAGTTTTAGTTTCAAGTGGAAACCAAAATAGCATTTATAGTTAACCAAGAAGAGACGGTAGAAAATTCTAGGGTATATAATGAGGAAAGAGGGCTTAGAAAATTTGATAACCTTAAGGCAGAGAACAGCAACGAATAATCTACCTAACCAGCTTGAAGAAATGGATGTTGGAAAAAGTACACTATTTATCTGCTACCTGTTGTTCCAAGATCTTGTGATCAAGTAATTGGTTAAGAAATAACAAAACAAGAGATTGCAGATAAATAGTGTATTCAAGTGAGTTACACGATTTGGGAATGTGTGTCGGTTGACCAACGTTCTGTCTATATCACTGTCATATTCAGTGCCTCCCTCAACGAGAGCACATGTGGCATAACGCCGAATTTACCGTGGGTTCTCCGAGCCCGTAAGCACGGCCAAAAATATTCCCGTAGAACGTGCATAAACGGGTTCGGGCCTGTCTACCTCACCGGACGAAACTTTTCCCTTCGGCAAAGCCTTGTACGGGTTCATCTCTGTCAAGGCAGAGAGTTCGACAGGAACTTCGAACAGCTGCAGTACAAACAGTCTATCACTGTTAATATTTAACAGCCCCCCACACGTGGGATGTATGTAGCACAAGGCCGAGTTTACGGTGTCATCCGAGCCTGTAGGCTCGGCCAAAAATATTCCCTTACAACCCGCATAAACGGGTTCAGGGTCTGTCTACCTCCCCGGACGAAACTTTGCCCTGCGGCAAAGCCTCGTCCGGCTTCCTCTCCGTTCGAGGCAGAGAGTTCGACAGTTGAACAGTCTATCATTGTTAATATTTAACAGCCCCCCCACGAGGGATATATGTGGCACAAGGCCGAGTTTACCGTGGGTTCTCGGCAAAAAATATTCCCTAAGAACCCGCATAAACAGGTTCAGGGGCTATCTACCTCCCAGGACGAAACCTCGCCCTTCGGCAAAGCCTCATCCGTGTTCTTCTCAGCCGAGGCGGAGAGTTTGACAGTCATGAACGGTTTGGCACCATTATATTTAACGGACCCCCTACGTGGGTCGTATGTGGCATAAGGCTGGTTTACCGTGGGTTCTTCGAGCCCGTAGGCCCGGCCAAAAATATTCCCTTTGAACCCGTATAAACAGGTTCAGGGCCTATCTACCTTCCCTGCGGCAAAGCCTCGTCCGTGTTCCTCTCCACCGAGGCGGAGAGTTTGACAGTCATGAATAGTCTGGGCGACTGTTCCCCCGAGGCTTACGCTCCTACTAATTTTATAGTAAGCGGAAGAGTCCACAATAGACTCATTAGAGGGAAGACACCACAACATAGATGCAATTTAATTAAGCAAATGCTCTGTTTATTTAATTAAACGGTATATATTAGATTTACCGGCCTGAATGTTCGAGAAATTTCGTAAAAAATATACGTTCTCCGACGTGTTATGCCATTTAGATACGGAGAAATATCTGGTTAGCATTATCCAACTTACTGCTTTTTTAAACACAACCGAAATAGGTTCATAGGGAACTTCTTTTTCCAACTCTAGTCCATTTTTAGAGGATGGGTTACAGAACATGTCTTGAATATTCTCGGGGTTTTTTTTGTAAACTTCATTCAGACATTAAGAAAACAATGTCTAATTATCACTGGAGATGAGTAATTGTGAAAAAACGCGAAATGCGAATTTAAATCTGGGACTAGGATAAGGGGAACGTCACCTCAACTGGGAATCAATAATAATGAACAAACCTCTTGCATTATGAAGATTTAATCCCAAGGGGATCCCCAAGTGGGGATTATAACCTGGAAATTTGAGAACCATAAGTTTATAGTAAGCTTAATTTCTGAGACGTATGGCAAATATATGAATGGCGCAACGGTTATCTCCAAGGAAAATGGTATCGGCCAACTGAGTTCCAATTTCGATCGACTCTGTTTTAGTAAATTCGCATTATTGCACTATAGAAAGGCATGAACCCATCTTTACACGCCCATGGATAAAACAGTCGGATATACTATGCTCTATAACAGTTTTGGTTCATCCAGTTCTAACCATTCAAAGATGCTCAAGTAAAGGAAGCTGTGGAGTGCCATTCACTCTTTAAACCTGGTCGACAATTGAATTTGGAATAAACTGTGTATGCGTGTGATTGCATAGTAAGAATATTATTTGTATTTTCACGAGACATAAATGTATGAAGTCATCTGACACCTGGTGCGGATCATTGCAAATGAGCAGGAGTATTGTTAGAGAAAATGCAAACAAAAAGGATACATATACTTTACATCAGGAAGAGACAGTTGAAATTTCTACAGGAGGATGCTGAGGATACCATGGACTGAACATGTGAGCAATGACGAGGTTTTAGAGAAAATGGAAACAAAAAGGAAACTTATAATTAACATCAGGAAGAGACAGTTGAAATTTCTACAGAAGGATGCTGAGGATACCATGGACCGAGCATGTGAGCAACGACGAAGTTTTAGAGAAAATGGAAACAAAAAGGAAAATTATACTTAACACCAGGAAGAGACAGTTGAAATTTCTACAGAAGGATGATGAGGATACCATGGACCGAACATGTGAGCGACGTTTTAGAGAAAATGAAAACAAAAAGGAAATTTATACTTAACAACAGGAAGAGACAGTTGAAATTTCCAACGAACATAATGAGGAAATTCCGATACTCACAAGACAATTTGAAGGCAAAAAAAAAAGAGTACTGATCTGTTATGCAATATCAGTCCTCCTATATTCGCTGGACACTCTACGCATTGAAGTAACAGAAATATGGTTCTACAGAAGGATGCTGAGAATACCATGGACTAAACATGTGAGTTGTTTTTTGAGAAAATGGAAACAAAATGGAAACTTATTCTTAACATCAGGAAGAGACAGCTGAAATGTGGAAAGAGTGCTTGGAAAATATGACACTCACAAGACAGACAGAGAATGAGGGGCAGACGAAAGCACAACATAATCTACGTTAGGAGTTTGTGTAAATGGTCGGCACAAAAGAGAGATTGGGAGAGAAGACAGTTACTAAAAGGTACAAAAAGGATAGGAAATTGACGAGATGGCCATCAATATCCTAAAGAGACACGGCACATTTTTTTATTTATTTTTAAACCAAGCAAAGCGGGAGTGCCACTAGTACGCGAGGGCTTACAAATGAGTGAGGGCAAGAATCAAGAATGGCCTTCTAGGAAAGGATATAGAGAAGACCGAGTATCAAGATCAATCTATCAGAACATGTCTATTGACATTACATTTGAATATTTGAATATTAGAGCTATCAGGAAAGCAAGTAAGCGGAAGGGAGTTCTACTGTCGGGAAGTGCGAAATGAGAAGCTGTTGAAGTAGAAGAGACGGCTATATTTAACTGTTTCGATAGCGAAAGGGTGGGAAAGGGGACGCCAAGCTAGTAGCAGCCATTAGTTCAATGCATATCAGAAGAAGAAGCTATACGTGATTACAATCAACTATTGCATGTGGATTTCTTTCAGTCCTTATCAGCAAACATTTCATGTATCATTCAAATAAAAGTTATTAAAAAGGGTGTGCTCAGAATTGCATAAATCCGAAATCATTGGAATATACCAAAAGAGGACCGTCAAGAGAAAAAAAAGGAAAAGGAGAAAATATTTATACACACAAAAGTAAGCAAAACCGTAGCAACTGATTGACTGGTTTGTTTTTACGGTTTATCAACCGTCTGTTTTTTTTATTCTCCGAATAAGTCTTCTTTTTTTTTTTTAGGTGAATATTGCATTTACATTTTTAGATAAAACTGTTTTTCAAGATATACAAGTTCTACTATTTAATCCATAGCTGGGGAAGAAAATATGCATCCATACATTTGCACGTAGGTAAGAATGTAAGAAAAAAAGTGGTTGGAGGCATTTTTTTATATTTAAGAAAAAGAGTAGTTGGAGGTATTTTTATATTTACGAAAAAGTGTAGTTGGAGGTATTTTTATATTTACGAAAAAGTGTAGTTGGAGGTATTTTTATATTTAAGAAACAGACTAGTTGGAGGTGTTTTTATATTTAAGTAAAAGAGCAATTGCAGGCATTTTTATATTTAAAAAAGAATAGTTGGAGGCATTTTTATATTTACGAAAAAGTGTAGTTGGAGGTGTTTTTATATTTAAGAAAAAGAGGAGTTGGAGGCATTTTTTATTTAAGAAAAAGAGGAGTTGGAGGCATTTTTATATTATAATTCCCTCAGTGCAGCTTCATTTTTTTGTTTTTGTCCTAAAAAAATTTCTAATAAACGTCATGAAAATGGCAATAAAGACGAAGAAAATAGTCAGAACAATGTAAATATCAGGTGCCCCAAAAAGTTTTTGCCGATTTTTGTTAACTTATTTCTGGTCCAGCTGTTTAGTTACTAACAAGCGTAAGTTTATAAGAAGCAATTTGTATTGACAAGTACATTGTTGAATGATTCAGTTATTATTTTATTACATAACTAATATCATTTTATTTCTCATTTCAGAGCCCTCAAAATGACTGATAAAAAAATTGATAATTCGTGCTTGTCTGTTGTATGAGTTTAAACTTGGTGCAAGTATATAATGTGTTTCTTGTAATCTATGTACAGCCGTTGGCGAAGGTGCAGTAATTGATCAAACTGCACGTAATTTGAACCCACACATTTTTTACTTTACGAATGTGCAAGAAAATAAAAAAGCAAACAAGAGAAGAAATACAAGAAAATAACTTTTCTTAATCAGGAACAATATTTATATTTATAAAAAAAACAACAGTTTTACAACAACAATAATAAGAGTTACTTCCCTTTGACTGGGCTAATGTTTTTACTAATTAAAAGCCATTTTTTTATCCGAGCTCACAAAAACTGAATTAACTTGTAGTTCAAAATGTTCACTGAAAGAGAATCTTATAAAGCTGAAAATATGTTAATAAACTTTTAGCTTTAAAGAAGTTGGAGAAGTGAATGTTCCGTATGTTTTTGTTGCTCGTAGTTTTAAATGTATTGTTCGTAATTGTTTGTAATTAAAGTTCGTCTGGTTCAATAACGTAATTGAATAAGAATATAAAATTTTACAAGTTGGTGAGTGAGATCTTTCCTTGAAATTGTAGCTTGATTTTCAGTGAAGTAATTTCATGTTAAAGAACTTTAGGTTCCAACTTTGTACTTCGCTGCAGTAATGATTCAAGCGTCGTGAAGTCGATTAGCGAATTTGGTCGTCGTAAATTCTCACTGACAGGGTCCGCTCGTACCTTCAACTTATATGTTCCTTCAACCACGGAAGAGAGTGACAGGCTCCGAAGGCATTGTTTTTTCGTCAGGTCAAAAAACTAGGTTGACGTTGTTCGGACGTAGTGGTGAGCAGGTAAATTGTTTTTTTAACACCTGTTAACCCACTCAGAAAGCGCTCTTACAAAACTCAGTCTGGAGCCTGATATGTTTTGTCTCGCTTATTGAGAACAATACACGTAAAGATAAATTTAATATTTATTATCCAATGAGAAGTTTAGGTTTTCAGAAACATTCATGAAGATGTGATCCGCTCTTTGCACGAAAATCGACATTTGTGAAAAAGTGGTAGCGGACAGCTAAAATACTCCACCCCCAAATTGAAAGTTTGAAAAGAAAAAAAAAATTTCAATATGTATGATACTTCGCAAATTTTGTAGGCCAATGAACATGTCTGCCTGCTCTAGTTGTAGTTTTTGTCGGAGGAGTTTCAGGTTGAATATCCTTCTGCTGGGCGGAAGAATTTTGATCAAACGAGGTCGAAGAATGCTTATCGGCATCAATGAAAGCAGGTTTCAACCTGTCAATGCTGACAGTGTTTGTCTTATTATTGATTAAGATGGTAAAATATTTCGGTGCACGGGAAATAACTTGGAAAGGACCGGAATATGTCGGTGTGAGAGGTTTTTTAACTGCATCTCTGCGTAGAAATACAAACTCACAGTTTTCCAAAGTTTTCGGTACGAAAATTGCTCTGTCTGAAATGCGCGTTGGGGTCGTAAATACGAGGTTAGACATGCGTTCTTTCAAGTCCTGAATAAAGTATGTAGATGGTCTTGTCGACACATCTTTTTCCATCATTTGACCGGGGAGTGTAAGTGGGCTCCCAAAAACAAGCTCAGCTGTGGTGCATTTTAAATCTTCCTTGACAACACTACGCAGTGCTAGCATTACTAGTGGTAATCTCTCAATCCACGATCGTGTGTCTTCGCTAGCTGTAAGTGCTGCTTTTAGTTGCTCAGAAACCTTTCTACCAAACCGTTTGCGCACGGATGGTAAGCTGTAGTTGTTATATGTTTAGTACCCAACAAGTTAGTAAATTCAGCGAAGAGGGTAGACTGGAATTGGGGTCCACGATCTGTAGTAATGACAGAGGGCATCCAAATGTGGCTATCCACTCACGTAAGATTGTTTGTGCAATAACACTGGCGGTGGTTGATCGCAGGGGTACCACCACAGGCCAACGTGTGAAACGGTCCACTATTGTCAACAAGTATTCGTATCCGTCTACTTCCATTAAGGGACCGACGAGGTCGACGTGTATATGTTTAAATCGACCATCCGGTGCAGAAAAGTGACCAGGAGGAGATCTGGTGTGTTGTTGAACTTTCGACTTCTGGCATTTAATACATGTCTGCGTCCAGTGTTTTATGTCCGCAGACATGTTTGGCCAGACAAATCGTTCAGAAATGAGTTTCGTTGACGCTTTACGGCCGGGATGAGACATAGAATGAAAATGGTCGAAAATTTGTCTGCGCATAATAGGGGGCACGTAGGGTCTAGGGTGTTTAGTGCTAACGTCGCAAAACAAGTATGCCGCGCTGAAAGGAATTGGTCGTTGCTCAATGCGCAGTGACGTGTCACTTTTCACTTTTTCTAGGGTGGCATCCCTCTGCTGTTCTCTGGCTAAGCATTCAAAATCTAATGGTTGCAACTTGACGGAATTCATTGTAGCTCGAGAAAGGGTGTCAGCAACGATGTTGTCGTTCCCGTTAATGTGACGAATATCGGACGTAAACTGTGCGATGTAGTCCAGCTGTCTTATGTCACGAGGGTTATATTTATCTGTTTTAGAGTGCAAGGCATACACTAAAGGTTTATGGTCAGTGAAAATTATAAAATTCCTGCCCTCTAACAGATGTCGGAAATGACGAACAGATAGATATATAGCAAGTAGTTCACGTGAAAAAGCACTATATTTGCGTTGTGCTGAATTTAATTTCACGGAAAAGAATGAAAGTGGTTTCTTCACGTTATCACTCTCCTGGTGTCATACGGCTCCTACACTATCAGCAGATGCGTCAGTAGTAAGAGAAAGTGTCGCTTCTTCACTATCCGAAACGTAAGATAATTTGGTATAATTAGCTAGGGCTTCCTTGGCATTATTAAATGCTGAAAGTGCATCGTCAGTCAGAATAAACTTGCTGTTCTTCTTTTTTTTGATTTTGTAACAGGTTTGTCAACGGAATCAGCACTTGCGAACAATGAGGTATGAATTGTCTGTAATAGTTTACTAAACCGAGAAATCTACGTAGCTGTCGCAGTGTAGTTGGTTGTGGGAAGTTTTGAATAGCTTCGACCTTTTGAGAGACGGGTGTAATGCCTTTCCCATCTATTTCATGACCAAGAAAGATCAGCTTCGGTACAGCAAATTCACACTTAGTAGGATTAATTTTAAGTCCGAAGTGCTTCAATCTCCGGAAAACCTGTTCCACGTGATCGGTGTGTTCTTCGATGTTCCTACTCGCAATCAGAACATCGTCAATATAAGCGAATGTGAAATGCAAGCCACGCAGTACTTCGTCTATAAGTCGCTGGAAGGACTGCGCTGCATTTCTTAGACCGAAGGGCATTCTAGTAAACTCGAATAAACCGAACGGTGTAGTCACAGCAGTTTTGTGGATGTCGTCTTTTGCCACAGGGATTTGATGAAAAGCCTTTCAAGTCCAACTTCGTAAAATTGACGCTCCTTGTAACGTGATCGCAAAATCTTGTAGATGCGGGATCGGATATTTGTCCGGGACTGTTTGAGCATTAAGTCTCCGAAAATCACCGCATGGTCTCCACGCTCCAGCTTCCGATTTCGACACCATATGCAAAGGAGAAGCGTATGGGCTGGATGATGGACGGATTATCCCTAAGTCCAACAGATGCTGAAACTCAATCTTAGCATTTTTATATTTATCGGGATGTAAACGCCGCGGAGATGAATGCACGGGAAGACCAGTCGTCTGTATCCTGTGTTCCGCATTGTGTAAGATTGGTTCCATATAGTTGAACGGTGTCAGAATTTCTGGATATTTCCGTAATAAATGTTGAAGACCGTTGGCAGTAGGTAGGGCTGTACTGATACCTGCCGTTGTCAATTTTGAAGTAATTCCCTTAATTGAAATATCGGTATATTTATCTTCTAAGGATCGGGAAGACATGTTCACGTTGAGTTTAAAATGGGCTAGGAAATCAGCTCCTAGAATAGGTGACTTTACTTGCGCGATGGTAAATACCCAAGAACGATCTACGTAATCCCAAGTTTAATGTAAGTGATTTTTCACCATAGGTTTCTATTCGAGAACCGTTGGCAGCTTGAGGTTGTATGACGTAGCTTTGGTCGCCATGTTTGTTGTAGGCGGAATCACACTAATCTGTGCGCCCGTGTCAACCAAGAATAGGTAACCAGAATTGGCGTCCTTAACATAAAAAAGACGGTTAATATTTTTTTCCCCGGTAGCGAACGCCGTCTTCACTTGCTGCCGGGAACGTCGTTTCCCGCTTGCTGTGTCGATCTTCTGCCAAATAAATTCGCGCTAAACCTGCAAGGTTTACGGCATTTATGTGCCTGGTGGCCAAAGTTAGCATGATACCAACATACGTTGTCCTGATTGTTTTCCCTATTTCGTGACAACGATCTGTGTCTACGTCGTCGTAATTCAGGAGGAGTTCGATTAGTGAAGTTGCATTTCTGTTGCATAGACTTCTTTTAATATCCCGAACCTGAATTGACAGTTGTGCTAACCTGTCACTGAGTTTACGCATGTCGTCTGCGTCAACCACCGATGCTACTGGCTGTCTCTGGGTCGCAGCATACACAGGACTAGCTGGCTGGTTATCAGCTATTTTATCAGCTATTTCAGCTAGTTTTTTGTATTTCAATTTCGTCTGGGAGGGAAGCCAAAATTTGGATGGTGTTCACGTGAAGTTTGTCCAACCAAAGCTGTCTTAACACTGTGTCAGACATTGTGTTGCTTCCTAATAGTACCCGCATTTTACGCAGTAGTTGTGACGGTTTACTTTGTCCCAAGCTCAAGTTATTGAAGAGGTCACGCAGCTTTTGTTCCTCAGATTGACCAGTTCTATGGAGTATAGCTTCTTTTAGGGTATCATAAGGGTTATCAGATGGCATCTCATCCAGGAGATCCGAAACCTCGATCGCTACCTCCGCCGGTAGCTTCTCCACAACGTAGGCATATCGGGAAGTTTGGGAAGTTATCCTCTTGGCGTTGAATATTGCAGTTAACTGTGCAAACCAAACTTGAACATTGACATTGTTGTAAGCTGGCAAATTAACAGTTATTGCGGCTTCTGTGTGTGCATCAGATTGATCAGCCATAATGTTAATATTTCTTCGACGCGGAATTAGGATACCAGTTGGTGAAGTGGTGATTCAAATTTTTTAAACGACGGTAAAAAAAACCAAAGTTGCCAATGTGAAATCTGAGTACGTCTCTTATAATATATCGCTCAATCAATACTTTTCCATGCACACTCGTATTCGGGGTCACTATTTATGTAGTGGTATTGACGGAATAAATCAACCCACACATTTTTTACTTTACGAATGTGCAAGAAAATAAAAAGCAAACAAGAGAAGAAATACAAGAAAATAACTTTTCTTAATCAGGAACAATATTTATATTTATAAAAAAAACAACAGTTTTACAACAACAATAATAAGAGTTACTTCCCTTTGACTGGGCTAATGTTTTTACTAATTAAAAGTCATTTTTTTATCCGAGCTCACAAAAACTGAATTAACTTGTAGTTCAAAATGTTCACTGAAAGAGAATCTTATAAAGCTGAAAATATGTTAATAAACTTTTAGCTTTAAAGAAGTTGGAGAAGTGAATGTTCCGTATGTTTTTGTTGCTCGTAGTTTTAAATGTATTGTTCGTAATTGTTTGTAATTAAAGTTCGTCTGGTTCAATAACGTAATTGAATATAAGAATATAAAATTTTACAAGTTGGTGAGTGAGATCTTTCCTTGAAATTGTAGCTTGATTTTCAGTGAAGTAATTTCATGTTAAAGAACTTTAGGTTCCAACTTTGTACTTCGCTGCAGTAATGATTCAAGCGTCGTGAAGTCGATTAGCGAATTTGGTCGTCGAAATTTACTGACGAATTTGGTCGTCGTAAATTCTCACTGACAGGGTCCGCTCGTACCTTCAACTTATATGTTCCTTCAACCACGTGACAGGCTCTCAGAAGGCATTGTTTTTTCGTCAGGTCAAAAAAACTAGGTTGACGTTGTTCGGACGTAGTGGTGAGCAGGTAAATTGTTTTTTTTGCACACCTGTTAACGGAACCACTCAGAAAGCGCTATTACAAAAAAAAAAAAAAAACTCAGTCTGGAGCCTGATATGTTTTGTCTCGCTTATTGAGAACAATACACGTAAAGATAAATTTAATATTTATTATCCAATGAGAAGTTTAGGTTTTCAGAAACATTCATGAAGATGTGATCCGCTCTTGCACGAAAATCGACATTTGTGAAAATCATGGTAAAACAGACAGCTAAATGTGATGGTTTTCATATTTTCATATGATGAATAAATACATTTAAGACTTTAAATATTACATCTTTAATTTTTTTTTGATAAAAATCGGCAAAAAACATTTTTGGCCACCTGATAACTACAATACCTCATCTTAGAAATATAGATAAATAGCTAAATAGTGGTAAATAACGTAAGAACTAGACGAGACATTCTTAGAAATGGGTAATAGAACAGTATAGCCTCGTTCATTAAATAAAGATTCGGAATTCACTTGAGGTTAACCAGATTGATATACACCTGAGGAGGGACGAAGTGTGATTAGACCAACAAAGATAATGACAATTTTCCGAATATAAATAGTGTAGATATTGATAATTCTTTATTCGAGGAATTCAGACAAATAATCAAAAAAAAGACTTTGGTAACGATATTAACACAATAGTCTACTTCTCTATTTACTCCTTAAACTTACCTATTAAAAGATTCTCAAAATGAAGCAAATGTCACTAAATCTGCTTTCTAAATAACTGATAAACCTACACATATTCTAAAATTACGAAAGATATACACTACAGTTAAAAAATCTGAGGAAGGTCCTTGTAACTTTTTTAAACTGAACCCAAATATGATGGTTAAAACAAAGTGAGACATGATTTTTATTAGAAATTTTGTTACGACAAAAAGAAAAAGAACATTTTATGAGTAAATTTTGTTGTCAAAATATCCTCCTTTACCCTTGATTACTGCAGTACAATTTTTTGGCATTCGTTGCAAAAGTTTCTCAAAGTATAAGCTTGATAATTAATTCCATTCTTTTTTCAACGACTCTAAAATGTTTTTTCATTTTCTTTTCACTCTTCTATCGAGTTCATCTCATGTTAATTCTGGGGACGGCTTCAAACTTTTAAACTGTAATATATGTATACAACATACATATTTTTAGGCAGATAAGATTCCATATAAACACTTCAGTTCGCTTGAAGTGGGTGTCTCCTAGATACTGGCGAATTAAATGCCAATGGCCTTCTGTTTATTCTTCAATAAATGTAATTTTAAAATTATATATGACATAGACAAGAGAACAGCTTAGCCTCCATATATGATATAAATGGATTCGTTCAAGATTTTTGGATGGTAAGCGAATGAGTCAGGAATCTAAGGGCGATCTATCAGTTGAATAGTCGTGACGTTGTATTTAGGATAATACCGATAAAGGAACTTGTCGGAAATGATTATTGTATAAGTGTCTGACAAAAAAAAAAAAAAAAAAAAAAAAAAAGAAGAAATCCGATGTGTACCGTGAAGCGGGCTGTTTAACCGATAAATGTAACCTACAGCGAGGTTCGACTGATTGCACACTTAATCTGTTTATGGGATTGAACTACTTGTAATATATGCATTCCGCTGGGCTGGCATCCTAGACTGAAGTTGATGGTCAGGGGCGAAGAGTTCTCCCGATAGAATCAAGCGTGACGGGTCCATGACCAAGATGAGTCTTTAAATTAAGTGATCAGGTACTCAGCAACACTTTACTACCCAAATATGGTGAGAGTTCTCCGGTGTGGTTGGCTCAACAAGTAGTGGGCCTGTAAACTATAGATTTCTTCACGTCAAGTGTAGTTTTTCTTGCTATCAGATCACTCTCGATCATGTCTCTCGGCCTCCTTTACGCAAGTCTTGGAGATAGAAGACGTGGCTCATGGGGGCACAGTCCTTTGGTATAAATAGATTCGTTGGCCCAATAGGTATGCCGATTGTGTCATATCATAACGGTCCATGTAAGATTCTCGGTTGTGGATGCGCACTGCTGATGAGTCCCCAAAATAGGACGAAACGGCCGTCCAGTGCTTTCTGTATTCTGTTGATGAGTCATAAAAAGACATAATAAGAAAATCCTAGAACAACACGCATGCCAAAACACTAATAAAACTCATAAACTAAAATTAGATAAAAATAACGAAAAATTATGTGCTTGTAGAAACCCTAAAAACTGCCCGTTGAAAAATAAATGCCTCACAAAATCCATGGTATATCAATGCACTATCTCATCCATTGAGAGTCCTAACACTGATAGGATATACATAGGCTCAACGAAGAATAATTTTAAAATTAGATGGAGGCAACACGAGAGCTCCTTCAACAATATTCAAAATAGAAATCAGACATCTCTATCCCAATATTTCTGGCATCTAAAAGAAACGAAGAAAACACCAAAAGTAAGATGAAAAATAGTAAATAAAACAAGAACTTGTAAAACCTGGGATGACCCATGCCCTTTATGCCTACACGAAAAAGTACACATCATTAAATTTCTAAATAATGAAAAATTATTAAACCATAGGCAGGAGTTAACAGTTTTTTGCCGACAAACTTTCGCATTAAATAATTAGCATAAAAAAATCCCATAGCTTAATAAAAGTCGTAAAAGCTTAGCCAAATCATTAAATAGGAAAAACCCTTTCTGTAGTCGTCAAAAAAAAAAAAAATTGAAATTCAGTGCAATACGGTTTGTATATAAAACACCCACTTGAATAAATAGATAGATAATCAAATGGACAATAATAAAAGACAATCCTCCCGACACATAACGACTTGTAGGAGCACCATAAAATATCCCTCATTGGGAACCAACTAAAGGATAGTATTTACCAATCCACCCACGGGGATCGAATGTGGCAAAAGGCCTTTTTAATGTGGGTATGTCCGAGCCCGTAGGCCCAGCCAAAAATAAATAACCATCCAAACCCGCCGAGGCGGGCCAGTTCCGTCAACCTCCCCGAACGAAACCCTACCCTTCGGCGGAGCCTCGTCCGGGTTCCTCTCTGCAAGCAGAGAGTTCGACAGACACCCGACCCGGCAGCTCACAAAGCGCAGATACTACACTTTGATCCTAGCCACCGGGCCGAGCGGGTATAAAGGATGACCGCAAACATTAGCCTTGAAATAGATACCCTACCCAACCTTAGCAAAACCTCTCAGAAGATGATGAATCTATTGATAAGAATTAACTCTCTGACCACTTAACGAAGAAAACTAGTCTAGCCACTCCCACAATAACGAATGTTATAACGGGCCATGCCTAAAAACACACGTAAACCAAGAGATGGCTTATTCCTAAAATTTCGCTTGAAGATGAAACGGGACTAAACACCTCAATTCAACTTAATTTTAATAATTATTTGGATGGTTTCGGCTCTGTTTTTGAAACATGAGAACTCTTATGTAGCGAAGGAATCATATTTTTAAACAAAAAAATATTATTATAATAAAGCTCTACTTCTGTATGGAGCACTGTCTTCTTAAAAATAAAAACAAAAATACTAAGGAACTCCGGATTATGCACCCAACTATTTTCTGCATACCTGCGCGCACACACACACACACACATATATATATATATATATATTAAGGCATGTATTGTTAAAAACTTTGAAACTTTTCCGTTTAATAATCTTTTTTTCTTTTTTTTCTTGCTTTATCGCGTCTTTTTTTTTAATATTTGGGTTTAAGTTGTTGGAATAAGACCCTAGTCCATGAAGTTTTGCTGAGCACTTTCGGTTATCGTCAATCGTTATCATGGCTATATGTTTTGATTCGAAGTTAGTTGCTTATTATTTTAGTTTTATAGATAATATTTTTATGTATTTAGATTATGCTGTTGGATTAGCTCATTATTAATAAGTAGGGTAATGGTGTTTATTATTTAGAGGATTACTTATTAAATATGTTTAAGATGTTTCTGTGATGATGTTATTGTGTGAGAAACACATGTACTAGAGTTATTATGCGAGAAAGCACATACATCGGACACACAACCACAACTCTGTTAGGTAAGCTCACATACCGCCTTAATGATACCATCGCCATAAAAAAAAAACATCTTATAACAACACACTGCACCACTAGTAAAATATTCAAATCATCCGAAATAAGAAAAATCTTAATTAACACCAAGATCATCGATAAAAACAAATGCAAAAAACGATTACAAATTTTTGAAGCCATCCTAATTAAACTTATTGAATCTTTGCAGTATAGTGATTCTGAGAGAATTATACTTCCTACCAAAATTCATTTGTGGCAGCCACAATCTTAACAGATTTGGATATGACTCAGTGTTGATAGAAGACATAGAAATAAAAACACAGGAACTCCTACAGAAGGTAGTGAAGGAAAGCGAGAAGAAAGGACTAAACATCAATTGTAAAAATGTATGTTTGTCGGCACAAGGAAGAACCTCGTATGCCAATGACAAGTTGGAGATACCTAAATAAATATTTCAACAGGTGATAGTACTTAACGTAATTTTCAGTTGACAATATGAATACAATAGTTTTTTTCTAAATTCTTCTAGATGCTAAGGACATTTTGTTTGTTGTTAATAGTTACTTTGTTTTCAATAAATTAACTTGGTTTTGCCTTGAAGATGTCCACATTGGACGAAATGCGTCGGCTAATAATTCAGTTTTTCTATTGTCTTTTACATTTATATATATTGTCTTTTTCTACAGGTTAACTCTGAGAAATTTTTCATACCTAAATAAGTAAGTACAAAAATTTAAATATCTAAGAAGTGTTTTAACCGAAGACGGAAAAGGTACATTGGGTTAGCGAAACTGGGATAGCGAAATATACCTTCCAAAAGCCAAGCAATGTATGAAGAAACAGAAAAATTTGGTTAGAAACACTGCACTGTTATATAATATCAGTCATCCTATATGCGATTAAGTGGTGAACAGTTTCCTCACAGACGAAGTAGAAACCTGAGGCAATAGAAACTTGAGGCAATAGAAATGTGGCTGTTCAGAAAGATGCCGAAAAGATAAAATGAATTGAACATTTGAGCAATGACAACGTTTTGAAGAAAAAGCCAACCAAAAAGGCGTTTAGGCTTGGTATCAAAAGAGACAGTGGAAACTTAGAAGGCACGTAATGAAGAAAAAAGGCTTCGAAAAAAAAAAAACAGAAATGGCAGTGCGCGTGCGCGATTAGACTGAGAGCGAGGCCCGTATTCATTTGCATAAGCGTATAAAAGCTGAGAGATTGCGAGAGTTAGGGGAGAGCGGTCCAGTTGTGCGAAAGTCACACGTGTTGTTAGTATCGGTGTCGACTGCGGTGTAAGACTGAGCAGAAAAAGAAGGAGAAGACACGGACTTCAGTAATTTCGTTATAGAAAGATTACAGAAAATTTGACGCTTACATGATATATAGAAATAAAGTTGAGGCTACGTCCTTTTTTCTAAACAGTAAAGTCTACAGAATTATATTATCATCATCTGATATTTTTTTTAATCATTTCACCCCAAGGAAAGCAATAAAGGCAGTGATCAAATAAGAAAAACAAAAACATTATTAAGGTACAATAAAAGGATAATAATCGTGAAGACAGAAGATGACAATTGAAATTGTATTTAAATTTTTGAACATCAAAGGTGCCTGGGAAGCAAGAACCCTGAAGATAGTTCCACAGCCAAGAAGTACGATAGAAGAAACTGTTAGCAAAGAACTTACGGATACATCTGGTCAATTCAACTGTTATATGATGAAACCTTTTTGCCTATCTAGTACTGCACTTAAATTAATAAATAATGACGGTAGCAAAAGTTACTGAGCTGAGATGCCAGGTCAGGATCAATAAGATTACAGATTCTTCTTTGTATTTTAAAAAGAATCTCTAAATACATAACAGGAGCGCTCGGCCTGATGTGGCAGTAATATTCAATACATGGACAAATAGTAGACTTATAAATATGTAAAATAAATTCAGGAGAGGAAAATTGTCTATCATGATATAATGGACCAACATTCTTAGCTACAGACTTAGCAGTTTATTCAATAAACTCTTTCCACTTCACGTCAGCTGAAAATGTTTATTCGAGAAGGCAAAATGAATCACTCTCCTGGAAGTTAGCTACTATCCTCATTGAGTTTGAGGACCAATAAACATTGCAGATTCTTCTTTGGATTTTATCAAGAATCTTTTAAATACAAAGCAGAAGCACCAGACCAGATGTGGTAGCAATATTTGATGCATAGATGAATAGTAGACTTATAAATATGTAAAATAGATTAAGGAGAGACACAATGAACCAACATTTTTAGCTGCAGGCTTAGAAATTGATTCGATATAATCTTTCCACTTCATGTCAGCTGAAAACGTTTATTCGAGAAGGCACAATAAGTCACTCTCTTGGAAATTAACTACTATCCTCATTGAGTTTCAGGAACAATAAATATTGCAGATTCTTCTTTGGATTTTATCAAGAATCTCTAAATATACAGCAGGAGCAGCAGACCAGATATGGCAGTAATATTAAATGTATGGACAAATGGTAGACTATGTAAGATACATAAAGTCCAGGTACCATAGAAGAAAGTTCATTAGAACAATTACGACAAAAGTATTTATAGAAGAGGCACAGAGAATCTATATTATGACGGTAGTAGAAGGTACTGAAGCTGAGATGCCAGGTCAGCATCAATAAGATTACAGATTCGTCTTTGTATTTTAAAAAGAATCTCTAAATACATAAGCAGGAGCACCAGATCATATGTGGCAGCAACATTCACAGCACGGAGGAATGATAGACTAATAAATATGTAAGATAAATTCGTGCGAGAAAATGTCTAGCTCGACATAGTGAACCAACTTTCCTAATAGCAGACCTAGCAATGAATTCAATAAAATCATTCCACTTCATGTCAGCTGAAAATGTTAAAAAGTGAAACTAATTGTTTAACGGTTTGGAGTGTTTATGCCGAAAAGATAACATAGATTGATCACATGAGCAACGGCGACGTTTTAGAGAAAATAAATTATTAAATAACGAAGTAGGGTTTTTACCAGAGTATTTTTCTAAACAAATCAGTTTATTCAAATTTCATTGATTTGTTTTGCAAAATTGAACGAAACGTAGAGTTTGAATACATGGTGGATGATACTCAGATTTTGTGCATATATATGTTTGTGTGAACATAATTATTAGACGCGATATGTGTGTTTTATATTATTTTATCGAAGTTATATTTTGGAATACTGTTTAATTTAAGAAAGTGTATCATATATTATATGGATTAAAGTCTTGAAAGAGATCTTTCATGTTGGCTGATTGGATTAATTTGTTTATCAGCATATCAACCTCCATGCATCATTTAATGCCAGAATGTAAATATTTTTAATACAATATAAAATGCATTGCTGTTCATTTCTCTCTATATATAAAATGGTATTATTGGTATTTTCACGATAAAAATGTAATTTATTTCATTTTCATAGTGTTTCCTTTTTGTTTGGGTGTTCACTATTTGCCCATAGCTGGGACCCTAACATGTGCTACTACACCTAGTTAGGGTGGACCTGGAAATAACAGTATTTAATATGCTACACCAGGCTTGAATCTTGTTGCTTATAAAGAAATAAATTATCAAAATCCAGTCGCAAGCTAGAAAACCCGCAGCGTTCATAATATGCATTGTTGTCGGCTGACATTTCACATTATAAGAAATTAAAAAAAATACAAAAATTACGGAATTATCTAAATAAGTCAAAATAATCAGTTTAATTAGATTTTCTTAAAATTGTACCGAATTATTTAAACAAGTTGTAAATAGTCGTTTGCTGAAATAATAATTAACATCATTATTATTATTACTATTATTATTTTTATAAACAGAAAATTATTCACATATTTCTCTCTTAGTTATGTATAGACATATTCACAAAATAGATGGCTTGTTGAAAATTTTCTTCATTCGGAAATTTTACAGAGTGGGGTAGAAATATTTTTTCCTGTTCATCTGGTGGGTATTTGGCTCGTAGCATAAAATAATTATAATTATGTATCTATGTATTATATTTAACGCGGGATGTTTTAGTTATGTGTTTCATTTTATATATTAAAAATAAACTTATATATGTTCAGAAAAAAGAAAAAGAAAAAAGCTTTCTTCGTAAAGATTTTCTAACCGGATATAAGATGAAGCAACGCGTCTGAAGAAAGTATGAGTGACGTCATCGTTCCAGTTTACCTTTTCCTTGTTCCGGTAAGCAATTAAATGGTTACACCAATAATAGTTCCATTCTTCTCTTTTCCCATATGAAAGACGATTGTATTGACGAAAAAAGTGCCGACAGTATACCTCCTACCCTTTCTTTCTTTCTTTCTTTCTTTCTTTTTTCTTTGTTTCGTTTTTTACTTATTTACTATTATTCTTTCTTCCTTTCGTTCTTTCTTTCTTTCTTTAGTTGTTTCTTGATTTTTCTTTTTTATTTCTTTATTTCATTCTTTCTTGAGTTTTTTATTTCATTCATTTTTCCTTTCTTTATTCTTATTTCGTACTTTCATTCTGTCTTTCTTTCTTTTCTTTCTTTCTTTCTTTTTTCTTTCTTTCTTTTTTTTCTTTCGTTCTTTCATTCTTTCTTTCTTTTCTTTCTTTCTTTCTTTTTTTCTTTCGTTCTTTCATTCTTTCTTTATTCATTCCTTCTTTTTTTCTTTCTTTCCTTCTTTCATTCATTCTTTATTCTTTCTTTCTTTATTTTTCTTTCTGTATTTTTCTTTGATTCTTTCCTTATTTCTTTTTCTTTCTTTTTGCTTTCTTTCGTTTTTTCTTTCTTTTCTTTCTTTTTCTTTTTCTTTCTTTCTTTCTTTCTTTCTCTGTTTTTCTTTCTGTCTTTTTCCTTTTTCGTTCTTTCTTTCTTTATTTATTTTTCTTTATTCTCTCTTTCTTTTCTTTCTTTTGTTCTTTCTATATTTATTTTTCTTTCTTTCTTTCGCCCTTTATTTCTTTCTTTTTCTTTCTTTCGTTCTTTATTTTTCTTTTTTCTTTCTTTCATTCATTCTTTTTTTTTCTTCCTTTCTTTCGTTGGCAGTTTCTTGATTTCTTCATTACATTCTTTAATTCTTTGTTTCTATTCTTTCTTTTTTCCTTCTTTCTTTTTTCTTTCATTCTTTTTTCTTTCTTTCACTAACAAGGAATTCAAAGCGTTCAGATTTTTCTTCACCCTCCCCCACTAACGGTTTTTTGTAGGCATCATCAGATTTTTGGTTTGAACTATTAGCTAAAAACTAGCATACAATATAATAACTTGTTTAATCCATAGCCCACTCATCAGATTCATGATTTGAATAATTAACTAAAAACATGCATACAATATAACACCCTTCATAATCCATAGCCGAAATAAATAGTTTAAATACCCTAAAAAAAAGGATAACACTTTATGAAGTCGTCAAAAAACAAACGTTACGACAGTTTTTGTTTGTTTTTTTATATGCACAAATCCCTTTCAAAAAAAAAAATAAAATAAAAAAATAAATAAATCTCCATAGACATGCAAACTAGACGAGGGTTAATACATCTTCCGTTTCAAATTTAGACACCCCCACCTTTCACTGACTTGACATCTACGAAAGTAACTCTATACTGATACTTATTATTAACACCCAACACACGCCTACCCAACTTAAACAATTCGCCCTAGCTGTTGATTTCAATTTTTAAAACACGTAAATTTCAGAAACACGTTATTCCAAAAAAAATTTCGCTTGAAGATTTCCATACCTGATGATGACCAGACGAACCGTCGAATGTACTTGCGTATTCAAGGAAGATCTAATACAGCTTATAATTTAAAAAAAAAAAAAAGGATCAAAATATTCATCGAGTGATTGGTAGGGTAATGCATCTTTAAAATTTAGTTAGCGAAGATATTTCGCCATAAGCACGAACGGAGTGTATTAAGAAATGCCATCAGTTACTACAACAATAAATAAATCCGTAACTTGCAAAATAAACTAAGTACGTTGATCTCTAAAAGAAAATGGTCTAAATTCGGTAGAAAGGACATAATTACAAATGTATCCAAAGTCAAACCGTCGGATACACAACTGGAAGCTTTCAGCTTATGTCTAAAATTTGTAACCTTCTTTCTTTTCATGTGCCATATTTTTTCAGGACGTAGGTAATCATGGCTCTCCACATTCCTCTATCCCTTGCAGCTCTCAGCAAGTTCCTTCCCTCTGTTTTCTCCCCAGGACCACCTTTTGTCATCCACCTGCACAAGCCCGCCAAGAAGGTCAAACACTGCTTTCACTGGTCTCTATTTCCTTCTATTCGACCCGGGAGTATCAGATTCTCCAATCCCTCCTTCCTCATTATGTGTCCTAGAAACTTCAGCTGCCTCTTCCTGGTGTTAAGTATAAGCCACCCCATTGTTTGCATTCTCTATAAGACCTCGTCGTTGTTTACACGCCTGGTCCATGATATCCTTACCATCCTTCTGTAGAACCATACCTCCGTTGCCTCGGGTCTCTTCTTCATATTTGAGGAAATCATCCAACATTTGCTGCCGTAAAGAGGAACATTTTTCTCCCTCTGGGATTTTTCAAGACTAAGATCCACTAACAGAATGACTCAGATTTCCGGGGTCTAATTTTTTTTTTAAGCATTTCACCCCACGCAAGACGGGGAGCCATTAGCACGCAAGGGGGTTATAGGGAGTTGGAGCGAAAGCAAATAGGAGTGATAGAGGAAAGGATGAAGAGAAGGATAAGGGAGAGATCGGGGCATCTGGTGAGGTCCATTGACATTACATTTGAATTAGTTTACAATTTCTGTCTCAGAAAAAATTGAGAAAAATGGACTAAGCATAAACTACAAGAAGACAGAATGCATTGTCATCAGTAAAAGGATGAGCCTGAAATGCGATTTACAAGTTGAGAACACTAGAATCAAGCAGACGTGGAAGTTTAACTATCTGGGAAACGTCTTGACTGAGGACGGTAAGTGTGAAACTGAGAACCGTAGGCGTATTGTGATGGCCGAGGACGCATTCCAAAAGCTGGGTAGAGTATTGCGAGACAGGAAGAAAATTACAGCCATATTCGAAAAAGCAAATGAAACCAAACTTCCCCCTAGATATACAAAAGTTCTAAAAGAATATTCCCCACCCCCACTCCGACGAAAGCGGTAGAATTTTAATTAGGGAAAAACACATCTACAAAAATGAAACACGTCATTGATGACAATATCTACAAAAAAAAAAAAAAAAAAACGGATGAACACAGGATAATGAAAGAGACACAAAAATTCAAAAATGAAACCAAAAAAATACTAGAAAAATGAAATAATTGTTGGCTAAATTACATCGAACAACCACCCGAAAACACCTACACTTTACACGTCACCAAAAATGCATAAACCGCACATCACGACGAGGCTCATTACCGGATGTAACAGCAAAATTGTCCAAAACGTGTAACAGTGTGGGATAATTGTCCATCCCACAAAATGTTTAATATCTGAAAAAAAAAAAAAAAAACACTAGACTAATTGAGTTTTTTTTCCCCAGCTTTTCTGATAAGACGTTAGACATCTTAATACCATTTGTCGTAAAAATCACTGAAAATTCAGCTAGAAAAAAAGAACAGGTTAAAATCATTTTGTGTTGGCCCCACAATATCTTCCCAACTGGGCAATGGCGAGAGAAATAAGATCATGCAGGCCTTCAGTAATAGTACCAACATTCATACTCTGGCTTCCATCTTCGAAGTCCACTCAAGAACAATCAGGAGAACGATGAATAACTTTAAAAAAGAGGGAACAGTAAAGAGGAAAACTGGATGATGAGGTCACAACAGCAGCAGAGATCATCATTTCAACTTAGAGCTAAATACATTCTTAGTGCTTAAAATAATGGCCAATATTGTTATAAAACTTCGGAGAATTCCAGTAAGATATCTTTAATCATTTCTAAGATACGACATATAAATGAGAGTTTTGTCGACGCAGTTCCCGAACGTGAAGTTGTCCGAGGCCTGGCATCGCATCCTTCCGCAAATCATTAGACCGTTTTTGATTGAGCGCAAAATGTAAGACTTACCAGGCGCAGCCCCCCTCATAAACTAGTCAGAATGCTAACCAAAATTTTAACTGCACTTCTTGGTACAATTAGAGACTTGCATATAAAAAAAAACGTGGTGATCTTTTAAATAAATTAAAAAAAATATAGCCATCAAAAAATATACGGCTACTTATAAAATCTTTATATACATATGTTCCTGTAAAGAAATGTCTTAATTTAATAATGACACAGCTGAAACAAAAATTAAAAAAAATTACCTATTCCTCCACATAAAATCATAAAAATCTGCTACTTAATTACCAATGAATGTTTTCATCATCGATGACAATGTTTATAGACAAACATTTGATTTACCGATGGGCTCTTCCCTCAATGGCTTTTTGGCTAATCTGTTTTTGAAATTCTTTGGAAAATGGTCATCTCAAAAATATTCTAAGAGAAAATTCTCCTTATTTCAGATCCTACAGAAGGTAGCGACGGAGAGTGAGAAGGGACTAAGCATAGACTATAAGAAGAAGAAATTTCAGTTACCACTTCTTGATGTTAAGTAAAAGCCTCCTCCTTGTTTGCATCCTCTCCAAAACCACATCGTTGCTCACACGCTCGGTCCATGATATCCTTAGCATCCTTCTGTAGAACCACATCTCTGTCGCCTCGAGTCACTTCTTTGAGGAAATCATTCAACATTCGCTGTCGTAAAGAAGGACATGTGTCACATAACAGTTTAGGATTCTTTTCTTTGTTACCAAAGATATCCTCCTGTCTCGCAGTACTCTCCCCAGCTTTTGGAATGTGTCCTTGGCCATCTCAATACGCCTATGGATCTCAGTGTCACACTTACTGTCCTCTGTCAAGACGCTTCCCAGATATTTAAACTTTCGCGACTGCTTGATTCTAGTGTAACCGACTTTCCGATAGCATTTCGGGCTTATCGTCTTACTGACGACCATGCACTCCATTTTCTTGTAGTTTATACTTAGTCCCTTTTTCTCACTCTCCATCGATACCTTATGTCGGAGATTTTGTATTTCATTTCCGTGTCTGCTATCAGTACTGCGTCATTCTTTATTGCTATCCCTTTTTCCTTTATCATTCTCATCATTTCGCAGGACGGTAATATATTAAACAAAATATCAGACATAGACATTGATTTTAATGCTCATCAGGCCAATATTCAAACATTGATTTTCTTCTATTGCTTAGTCAAATAGTATATTTCCATGATAATTCTGATTAGTATACTTCTTTACTCTGACTTATTCCTTACCTCCTCCTTTCTCTCTTATTGATCATAGCAGATTATTACAGTATATATACAACATATTTACAAAGCTTAGCTTAATTACAAGGCTAAGACGAGGTGCATGGTCGTCAGTAAGACGATGAGCCCGAAATGGGATCTGAAGGTCAGGAACACTAGAATCAAGCAGATGCGAAAGTTTAAATATCTGGGACGCGTCTTGACAGAGGACGGTAAGTGCGACACTGAGATCTATAGGCGTATTGGGATGGCCAAGGACAATTCCAAAAGCTAGGAAGAGTATTGCGAGACAGGAGGATATCTTTGGTAACAAAGAAAAGAATACTGAATTGTTATGACATCTGTCCTTTTTTATGGCATCGAATGTTGGACGATTTCTTCAAAGATGAAGAAGTGACTCGAGGCGACAGAGATGTGGTTCTACAGAAGGATGCTAAGGATATCATGAACCGAGCGTGTGAGCAACGATGAGGTCTTAGAGAGGTTGCAAACAAGGGGGACACTTATACATAACACCAGGAAAAGGCAGCTGAAATTTCTGCGACGCATAATGAAGAAGGAGGGCCTGTAGAATCTGATACTCACAGGTCGAATAGAGGGAAAGAGAGATAAGGGAAAACAACACGTGACATATCAGGCGGACTTAAGCAAGTGGATGACAGAACGTGGTCTGGGGGAGGAAGCAGAGGGAAGGAACTTGCTGGGAGCTGCAAGGGATAGGAGGAGGTGGAGAGCCATGATCGCCTACGTCCTGAAAGGACATGGCACATAAAAAGAAAGAAAAGAATATATTAGATTGTTATAAAAATATTAATATGTTAGAACACATTCATATCATTTTGACTCTTTGAATCCTGAACCCGTGAGGTATAAGGTTCTCCCACCCTGAG